TATATATATATATATATAGGAGGGATCAAATGAAAACCGTCTAATTCTTAGAAACCGTGTAAACTAATTTCGACCAATATTAAACTTCCTTTTTATCTTAATTAAATTTAAGCATTAAAGGTAGATTTGTCATTTACATTGTTTTATATTAAATATAGAAGTTATTAATAAATCTTAATTAAGCTAACATGATAAAGAAATTTTTATAAATGATGATATTTAAATGTTTATTTAAATTAGAATTTTAAAAATTGAATATTGTTATTTGGTTTCTCGGTTTATTAGTGGTAATAATATAAAATCGAAAATTATTATATTCATTAATCCACGAAATCAGTAACAAATCCAAACAAAGATTCATGAACCGGTAAAAATATAATCAACTGTGAAACAGATTCATGTTAGATTTATTCATGAAAACGTTCATTTTGAGGAGCTTGTTTTATAAAACGTATGTAGATTGGTTCGTGAAAGCGTTCATTGAAGAGTTTGTTTTATGAAACTTTTGGGGATGAACTGGTTGCGTAATATAATGTTCTTGCATAATCTTGTTTTCTTATCAACAATATTTGATAAAATTGTTTCATTTTGTTTTATTTTTATTTTGGATGATTTTGTTCACTTAATGGTTAACAAAGCATGTAATGGTAAATGCAATGACTCTATGAAACGTGTTCGTATTGGAAGAAATTGGCTGATAAAATGGGTGCATGAAGAAAGTGAAACCATTTCATAATTGATAAGAAAATGTTGTGTAATTAGCAAACAATGAAACAATTTCATTATTACGATGAAATCGGTGCATAACGACCGAGAAATCATTTCATAATTGTTAAGAACATGTTGTTTAATTAGCAAACAGTGAAACCATTTCATAATTAGATTGAAACGGATCCATCTACCGAAAACTTGAAAATGACAAATGTCTCATCTAACATTACGTTGATTTATGTATTGATGAAACTGTGAAACCATTTCGTTCATGAAATGTAGTAGTAATTTTTTTTATTATTCAAAAGGTTTCATTATGTTAAATTGATTATAGTGTGTTTTATTTTTATTGTTGATCTATTTTAATGATGGATGTTATTTTTTTATAATATTTGAACATATACTTAATATATTATTTTACAAATGATTTTGTTTCAT